CAACTCAAAAAATAAAAATAAAATAAAATAAAATAAAATAAAATGACAGTCCTAGGCTGGGCGCGGTGGCTCAAGCCTATAATCCCAGCACTTTGGGAGGCCGAGGTGAGAGGACTGCCTGAGCCCGTGGGTTCGAGACCAGCCTGGGCAACACGGTGAGACTTCATCTCTACAATAAATGAAAAAAATCAGCCGGGCGTGGTAGCGCAGGCCTGTAGTTCCGGCTACTTGCAAGGCTGAGATGGAAGGATCGCCGGAGCCCAGCAGGTCGAGGCTGCGGTGGCCGGGAGCGTGCCAGTGCACTCCAGCCTGGGCGACACAGTGAAACTCCAACTCAAAAAAAAAAAAAAGGCAGTCCTACATTCATTTATCCATCTGGTCAATATAGGATATTCACTGAATGACAATCACGTACAGGAGCAAAGGTGTAAGGGCAGGAGTATACAGGGATTATCTATTCGTTCCATTTATGTTTGCCTACGGGCCTGTTTTTGGAGGGCTTGAGTGATAAAATCAGCTGACTTCCCGACCAGCACAGGTGAGGTGAGGCAGTATTGGTGGTGGGACTCTCGTGGAAGTGAGTGGGCATCGCGGCTGACGCGGCTTGGGGACCGGAGCAGGCAGAAGCTGGGCGTGGGCCAACCTTGGAAACGCAGCATCCCAGGCCGGCTCCAGCGTCTTCCAGCCGTCTCATTAGGATTCCTAGTGTCTTTCATCCGAACTTGCAGTCGGAGGAGTCAAAGGACCGGCAAAGGCGCGCTGGAGGTGGAGCAGGGAGCCGCTTTGGAGCCCTCCCCATCCGGATCCGCCCTCCTGCGTCCCACGCCGAACTACGTCCCCGCGGGCTTCCGGGTTGCCTAGCAACCTGCTGGGCCCCAAGTGCTCCCAGTAGCCCGATCTGGGCAGGAGCGGAGCGTCCCCGTCCGGGAGGCAGGTACAAGAACCGCGTCTGTCCCGCGCGGGCAGGGCGCGGGCCCCAAACACGTGGACACCCGCCACCCGGCCGCCGCCCGGGGGCGGGGCCCCGCGGGGCCAATGAGCGGGCAGCAGGAGGCGCGCGTGCGCAGAGCGGGCCGGGGGGGCGGAGCCGAGGAAGCGCATTCTGGGGACGGGGGCTGGCGAGGCTCACGCGGAGGGCTTCGCTTCTGCGGCAGGGACCGTGCGGGTGAGAACCGGCGAGCGCCGAGGCCCGGCCCTGGGGGCGGAGGACCGTGGGTGGCACTCAGGCGTCTGCAGCAGGGCGGGATCCGGGCGCCCCTCCTGGGGGCTGGGGCTCGAGGGGGAGGCTGGAGCGGTCTTGGTGCGGGGCTCGGTCCTCAGGCCGCCTCGGGACACATAGCCGGCTAGGAGTATGGTCTGTGTCCCCGCCGGGGGCTGTGGAGCCAAACCGGTCCAGCCGACTGATCCCCGCCCTCTTGTTGGTCCCTGGGGGCCCCGGGACCTGCCTGTAGGTCCGGCTGTGCCGGGTGGATGTAGCCCCTGGCCCAGCCCAAAGCTCGGGGACATTACTCTCCGCCTGCCCATTGTCCCCCCATCTCTCTCTAGGGGAGACCCCGGCGTCCCGTCCGGCTTGGCGAGGTTGACAGGGCTGTGCTGGGGCGGGGATGTGGGGAGGCTGATCGCCTCTTGTGTTCCCTGTTGCTTCTTGTATTCCCTCTCCGGGTATGGCACCACCACCCACCCGCGTACCCCAGCCAGAAGCCTGGGCGTCATTCTCACCTTTGCATTCCTGTCCCCACCCACACCGAGGCGTCGTAACGCTTGTCCTGAATACAGCCTTTTCCCGACTGCTCCCCTGCACCTCTTCTTGATATTCTGTAGTCTGTCCTGTACGGGGAAGCTAAGGCCATGGTCTTAGCACAGAAGTCTGGCCATGTCACCAGAACCCCGCCCCCAATCCTTTACCACCCCTTAGTGGATTCCCATTGCTCTTCCAACCTTTTGAACAAGGATTTGAAAGCCCCTCATGGCCCGACTCCTTTTAATTTTGGACTCGACTTTTCTTTCCTTTACTGTGTTTTCAACCGTATTCGATGTTTTTTCGTTCTTAGATTGGAACAAGTTCCTTCTGGACTTACATGTTCCTTACAATATGTTCCTTCTCTCTTGGGCTGAAATAATCCTTCGTGTGTTGCTTCAGGTGTGAGTGGGGGCTACTGTGGTACCCCGTGGGTGTCTACTTACTGGTCTGTTTTTTCCACCCGGCTGCGTGAGAGGAGTTTGTCTGGGTCACAGCACTATCTTCAGTACCCTGGGTTGTTAGTATGTTAATTAAATGCGTAAATGAAGCATAGCTGCTCCTTGGGCTTCCCCAAATGAACAAACAGATCAAGTTACTAAAAGCCTGCTTTTTCAGACCAAATTCTCGACCTGCGGCCTGTGTAGAGGTTTCTTGAGCTTAGGAACTTGGTTATTTTCTTGTCTTTAGTCCAGGACCATGGCAGAGGTAAATGGGAAGTACTGGCCAGAGTTTTTCCTTGGCGTTGGCTCTGGGTACAGGATGTCTGGATGTGGGTGAGTGCAGCTGCTTTGAGTTTGAATTCTTAATCAAGGGTCCCCAACCTACGGGAAAAAAGCTGTTAACAGCTGCTGGCAGGAAGGCTGGCTCCAAACTCGCAAGTGCTGATAGGACTAATGACACAATGGGAGCGAAGTGGAGGTACCAGGCCAAACACTGGTGAGAGGGCTCCAGAGGGAAGTTCCAGCCTAGGCGAGATCCTCTGTGATAGGGAGCCTAGGTGCCAAGACCCACTTCCCCAATTCAGACAGGGGCCAGGTCTACTCAGTTTATTAAGGTAAAGGAAGACAGAAGAGAGAGGAGAGGGTCCCTGACCCGGAATGGGGAGGAGGAGGGAGAGAAATAAGGAAAAGGAGAACGATGTGGGACTGTGTGTGAAGGTCATGTGAGTGCCAGAGGCTGCAGGGTGAGGTCAGAGTTGGCTGGAGGTGACATTTGAACCTGCCCTGGAAGGGAGGGGGAGAATGGACAGATGGAATCAGTGGGAGCAAAGGCTGTGGGACAGGGAGAGCCAGGCACTGGGAGGCCTCCCAGGACGGAGGCTGTTCCTCTGTGGGTCTCAAGGGTTGTGTGCTGAAGACCCTTTGCAGAAACTTTTCCTGCCTTGGATTTTCCTCCAGCCTGGCCTTTATAATTTCCTGAAAGAGGCTTTTGAGCTCGAGAACTCCCAGGGTTTATCTTCAGACTGCTTGCCCATGGCCTTGAACTAAGTAGTTGGAGCGTGGATGATGCAACTTGTTCTTGGGGCAGAAGGGAGCTGCCTTTGTTTCCTTTTGCCTGTGAGCACTTTAATTGTTAGATGGCAGTTAGATTCCCTGTTCAGTGCAGCACTTCATGGAATTTTTTTTTTTCTGTGTGTTTCTAGATTTGGCTTTTGTTAAGTTCCAATCATTAGAAACTTGCGTCAGCAAGCCAAAGTGGAACGAGTTCAAAATCAATGGTTCTTGGCCTTGATCCTGCCTCCCTGGAAGAAGGGGTAATTTGGGCCCACAGTTACTGTATTATTTTATTTATTTGTTTTTGAGTTGGGGTTTCACTTTGTTGCTCCGGCTGGAGCGCAGTGGCACTATCACAGCTCACCGCAGCCTCAACCTCCTAGGCTCAGGCAAGGCTTCTGCCTCAGCTCCCAAGCAGCTGGGACTACAGGTGTGTGCCACCACACCTGGCTACACAGTTACTGTATTACTAATCACTTGGTTGCTTTTTGGTGTTATCCGAATAGAATTGCCCCTGCTCCCACCCCAACACACACTCCCAACTGTTACACTAACCATCTAACCACCTAGTCAACAGAAGTGGTGTTGTGGGTTCAATGATCACTCAGCTCAACTATCAACCTAGCAGAACTCTCCAGAAGAAAAGTCCTATCCTCAGTTAACATCAACAATAAAACTCGGCAGCATGTCTGTAAAGGTGCTTATCTCCCCAGCGTCCCAAAATCGTGGCACATAGGTCGAGGGTGTAGGTTCAGCCCCAGCTCTCGTGGCCAGTCCTGCAAGGAGCTCTGACGGTCAGGCAGTTTTCAAGAATTGGTTCCCAGCTGTCTTGGGCAGTGGACAGGAGCCTTCTGAAGGGAAGTCCTCAAGCATATGGGGAGAATAAGCCAGACTCGGAATTGAAGAAGACTCACTGGAGAAAGACATTTGATGGAGATGAGTCTGAAAGGCTTGGCAAGAACTAGATTATCTTCTCAGGTCCCTCCTGTCCCAGAACTCTAAGATCCAGGGTCAGAACAAGTTGTTCTGCTCTGGCCTAGGCCGTCACTGCTCAGAGTAACTTGAGACCTTGTTTTCTGTTATCAGGTAGGGTGATAGTAGCCTTCTCAGGATCTGGACACTTTTATGTGGTAAAATTGGAAGTATAGTTTCTGACTGTTTTGAATTATTTTTTGGAGATAAGAACTAACTGGAAACTCCGGATCTCACTCTATCACCCAGGCTGGAGTGCAGTGGCACAATCAGGGCTCACTGCAGCCTTGACCTCCTGGCCTCGGGCGATCCTTCTGCCTCAGTCTCCTGAATAACTGGGACTACAGATGTGCACCATCACACCCAGCACATTTTTTTTTTAAGTTTTCAAACAAAGTTTATTAGAGAAAGAAGAAGGGAGAAAAGAAATAGAGACATGCCAGAAGTGGCATGGGTGAAAGAAACCGCTCAGTTAATTTTTTTTTTTTGTAGAGACGGGGTTCTCACTATGTTGCCCAGGCTGTTCTTGAACTCCTTGGCCCAATCAATCCTCCTCCCTCGGCCTCCCAATGTGCTGGGATTACAAGCATGAGCCACCGGGCCCTGCCAGGTTTGGGAAATTTTTCTAAACACTGTAGGATGGCATACTCTCAGGATTCTACCCTAAGAGCCTTTCAGGATGTGTGAGAGGGCTGTAACACCTCTACTGCCCAGCCCTGGCTCCAGGCACAGAGAGTAGAGATGGCACCAGCTTGAGCTGAGCTCTGTGTTTTGTGTGTAAGATGTGGCCAGTACCTTACCCTTTACCATTGGGTCTGTGGGCTCCCATTAACCCTTAGAAATCACTGGGCCAAGCTGGGCGTGGTGGCTCCCACCTATAATCCCAGCACTTTGGGAGGTGGAGACTTGAGAGGATTGTCTGAGCTCGGGTTCAAGACCAACCTGGGTAACATGTCAAGACTTCGTCTCTATAATAATTTAAAAAATTAGCCAGGTAGGGTGGTGCACACCTGTAGTTCCAGCTACTTGGAAGGCTGAAACAGAAGGATCACCTGAACCCAGCAGGTCGAGGCTGTGGTGCCACTGCACCCCAGCCTGGGTGATAGTGAGACTCCGACTCAACAGAAAGAGAAAAAATAAAAAAAAGAATTCACTGAGCCTGGTATCCAGCATGTTCCCACTTGTGGGCAACTGCCACTCTGCTCTGCCATCCCCATGGTTCTTCAATTCCCACATATCCTTCCAGGCCCAGCTGAGGTGCCCCTAGGTCTGTCAGCTTCTCTGATTTTCCTTCATCCAGAGGAAATGCCCCTGAACTCCCACAGGGCTTTATCTTTCTCTAGCACGACTCACTTTTTTGCCTTGTTAGTGCTCTTGGTAGGAAATATTTCTCTCAGTGAACCCTAAGCTTCTGGGAGGCAGAAATGGTTTTTGAATTCCTTTAGGTAGGCTCTGAAGGCACTTCAGGGCATGTCATTTGAGTGATAGGGACCCGGAATGCCCAGACTCACCCCACATCTCGTGTCAGAGCTGGCCTTGGGCCCGGTCTCAAGTGCTCTCTTCCCTAACCTAGCTGCTTTGTCGGGTTTCACAGCACATACTGTGTCAAGTCAGGTCTTTTTGTTTGCTTTTGAGTCAGGGTCTCTTTCACCCAGGCTAGAGTGCAGTGACATGATCACAGCTCACCACACCCTCAACCTTTAGGGCTCAGGTGATCCTCCTGCCTCGGCCTCCCAAGTAGCTGGGACTATGGGTGTGTGCCACCACATCCAGCTAATGTTTTGATTTCTTGTAGGAACGAGTTCTCACTCTGTTGCCCACACTGGTCTCAAACCCCTGGGCTCAAGGAGTCCTCCCATCTTAGCCTCCCAAAGTGCTGCGATTACAGGCACAAGCCACTGCATCTGGCCTATGTCAAGTCTTGAGAGAAACCTTCCCCTGACACTCTGGCTTCACTTTCTGTGTTTCCATCTCGCAGATAACCGTGACCATGAAATCCCTGTGGCTGCTCAGAACCCCCTTCCTGTGTGGCTTGCTCTGGGTCTTGTGTGTCCCCGGGGCCAGGACTGAGGAGCCTGCGGCCAGCTCCTCCCATCCTGACAGTGTGGGCCTGGACAAGAACACGGTGCATGACCAAGAGTACGTATTCAGCCTAGGCAGTGGTGCAGGGGCCTTCACTATTTGCAGTTGCAGCCACTCTGAGGACACACTCAGTCCCTTGCCTTCCGCCTATTCATGTGGCTTCTTGCCATTCTTCAAGTGTGATATCTATTCCTCATTGCCACCTGTAAATCAAGTGTTCTTTTTTTATCATCCTGTCACTGGTAAAGCATCTTGAGCCCATGTGGGAAAAATGATTTGTCTGAATCCAGTCTCCCTCTTTCACCACAGACAGATACAAACACAGAAAGATAGACACAGATAGACAGACACACACACACATAGTAGTAATGGCAGAATCCAGAAAATAGCTAAGTTTTCTTGACTCTAACAAGATCTTTGCTTTTTTTTGTAAAAAAAAAAAAGTTGCCCAGGCTGGTCTAGAACTTCTGGCCTCAAGCAATCCTCCTACATCAGCCTCCCAAAGTGCTGGGATTACATGCTCAGCTCACGCCTACAATCCCCACTTTGGGAGGCCAAGGTAAGAGGATTCCCTGAGCCCATGGGTTCGAGACCAGCCTGGGCAACTTGGTGAGACCTTGTCTTTACAATAAATCAAAAATGTAGCCGGGTGTGGTGGTGTGTGCCTGTAAGTTCCAGCTACTTGGAAGCCTGAGGCAGGCAGAAGGATCAGCTTAGCCCAGCAGGTCGAGACTGTGGTGGTCGTGAGCAGCGTGCCACTGCACTTCAGACTGGATGATAAAGTGAGACTCCTACTCAAAAATATATATATATTTGTTTTAACTTGATGACCCCAAAATGTTATAACACAATTCTTTTTTTTTTGAGTTGGAGTCTCTGTCGCCCAGAATGGAGTGCAGTGGCTGCTCCCAGCCACCGCAGCCTCGACCTGCTGGGCTCCAGCGATCCTTCCGCCTCAGTCTTCCAAGTAACTGCAACTATAGGCGCGTACTACCACACCTGGCTAATTTTTGATTTATTGTAGAGATGAGGTCTCGCCAAGTTGCCCAGGCAGGTCTCGAACCTAGGGGCTCAGGCAATCCACTCACCTCAGCCTCCCAAGGCGCGGGATTATAGGCTGAGCCACCGAGCCCAGCTATAACACAATTCTAATAATGAAAAGGAAAAACACCATAATCTTGCCAGGGTTACAGATGAACTGTCTGACTTTTCCCAGCTCTTCTCATGACCTTGTCTCTACATATCAGTCCTCACCGTGGCCTGTCACTGTTTCTGTGTCTTCTGAGGAAGTTTAAGGTCCTGAATTTCCAGAGTCCTCAAGGTTTCTGCATGATCCCATGTCTCTGCCATGTGGCCTGAGTCTGCCTGTTGGTTTTTAGGCATATCATGGAGCATCTAGAAGGTGTCATCAACAAGCCAGAGACGGAGATGTCCCCACAAGAACTACAGCTCCATTATTTCAAGATGCACGATTATGATGGCAATAATTTCCTTGACGGCTTAGAACTCTCCACAGCCATCACTCATGTCCATAAGGAGGTAGGTCTGGCAGGGGCTGGGGGATGGGAGGCCGCATCTATCTGGCCTCCCTTTGGTAATTCGGTCTCCCATCTTGGCGATGTGTGCTGTCTTTGTCCATCAAGGGTGCTGCTTCTCTCTTCGGTGCTGTCTTTTGCCTCTTCCTGTTCAAGGGTCCTTCCCACAGAGGGTGACCTGCCAAGGCCAAAGCCTCAGGGGTGGGCATTTGTGTCTTCTGCCACACACCAGAGTTTGAGAACCAGTGCTTAAAAAGACAGGCCATAGTCACACTGCAGAGCAGGAGAGGAGTTATTTTCCTTGGGAAGAATGGTGAGTCGGCACCAGAGGCTTGAGGGCCATGGCAACCGTGGATGGTTTGTGGGATGCTGACCAGTGCTCCATGGTTTCCAGAACATGTTCAAGTAGGTTAGAGAAGTCAGGCTCAGTGGCTCAGCCTGTAATCCCGTGCTTTGGGATGCTGAGGTGAGTGAATTGCCTGAACCCATGGGTTCGAGATCCACCTGGGCAACTTGGTGAGACCTCATCTCCACAATAAATCAAAAATTAGCCAGGCTCGGTGGCTCAGCCTGTAATCCCGCGCCTTTGGGAGGCTGAGGTGAGTGAATTGCCTGAGCCCGCGGGTTCGAGACCCGCCTGGGCAGCGAGACCTCATCTCTACAATAAATCAAAAAATGAGCCGGGCGTGGTAGTGCACGCCTGTAGTTCCAGCTACTTGGAAGGCTGAGGCGGAAGGATCGCCGGAGCCCAGCAGGCCGAGGCTACGGTGGCCGGGAGCGGCCACTGCACTCCAGTCTGGGCGACAGAGTGAGATTCCAACTCAAAAAAAAAAAAAAAAATTAGCCAGGCGTGGTAGCACATGCCTGTAGTTCCAGCTACTTGGAAGGCTGAGGCGGAAGGATTGCCGGAGCCCAGCAGGTTGAGGCTGTGGTGGCTGGGAGCGGCCACTGCACTCCAGTCTGGGTGACAGAGTGAGACTCCAACTCAAAAAAAAAAAGTAGGTTAGAGAGCCCATTGGATCTTTGCAGCAGCCTGAGTAGGCAGGTTGGGCCTTGCCATGCTTCCCACTTTCTAGGTGAGGAAACGGAAATCAAGATCTCTGCTCACCCCTCAACAGGCACAGTGACTCATGCCTGTAATCCCAGCACTTTGGGAGGCAGAGGTGAGAGGATTGTCTGTGCCTAGGGTTTGAGACCAACCTGGGCAGCTTGGCAAGACCTTATCTCTACGATAGATAGATAGATAGATAGATAGATAGATAGATAGATAGATAGCCAGCCAGCCAGCCAGGTGTGGTGATGTACACCTGTAGTTCCAAGTTACTTGGAAGCCTGAGGCAGAAGGATTGCCTGAGCCCAGCAGGTCCAGGCTGCAGTGGCCGTGAGTGTGCCACTGCACTCCAGCCTGGGCGACAGTGAGACTCCAACTAAAAAAACTCAAACAAATAAATAAAATTTTAAAATGATCTTTGCCTCCCGATTTCATGTCATTCCGCCGCTGCCATACTGCCCTCTGTTGAGAGGAGGCGTGGCAGAGGCGGTGAGGTGGGTGTGATCACCTGTGTTGGGGTTGGTGGAAAGGCAGCAGGGGGCGCTAACGGGTTTGCGCAGGAACAGCATCCTTTCTGAATGACTTGCCTGTGGGAGGGAGACTGACAGCGTGAGAATAGCCAGAGGGAGAGGAGGTGGAATTCCTCAGTCCTGGCACACAAGGATGGTGGTGGCGACAGGAGAGAAAAGGGCAGATGTGGTCACAGAAGAACCAGTGAGGAAGGGACACATCTCAGCTGAGGCCCTGGTAGGGTGAGCCCCGCTGCACCCATTTCTGGAGCAAGGGGAGGACTTTTCTCAAAGGTCGTGACAAGTCCCACTGGCCGGCAGTGCCTCCTTCCTCTTGTTTTGATGCCAAGATGTCCGATTTGTCACTGTTTCCACCTTATCAGGCAAATTGTGTGCACAGAGCGGACCCTCAGCTTGAGCTTTCCTCTAGGATGGATTTGTAGGTCATGGAGTCTGTGAAACTCATAATTCTGTGTAAGCCAGACCCAGCTTTCTACAATGAACATGTATTGCTTTTGTAACTAGAAAAGAATAAACCGTACTTTTTATTTATTTATTTATTTTTTGAGTTGGAATCTCACTCTGTCGCCCAGACTGGAGTGCAGTGGCCGCTCCCGGTCACTGCAACCTCGACCTGCTGGGCTCCAGCGATCCTTCCGCCTCAGCCTTCCAAGTAGCTGGAACTATAGGCGTGCGCTACCACACCTGGCTAATTTTTTGATTTATTGTAGAGATGAGGTCTCACCAAGTTGCCCAGGCGGGTCTCGAACCCGCGGGCTCAAGCAATCCACTCACCTCAGCCTCCCCAGGCAAGAGATTACAGGCTGAACCACCGAGCCCTGCATAAACAGTAATTTTTAAATAAACAAGCGCCTTCTTGGAAGGGCCTTCTTTTAACTAGCAAATGTAATTTTTATTTATTTATTTTTTGAGTTGGAGTCTCACTCTGTCGCCCAGACTGGAGTGCAGTGGCCGCTCCTGACCACCGCAGCCTCGACCTGCTAGGCTCCGGCGATCCTTCCGCCTCAGCTTTCCATGTAGCTGGAATTACAGGCATGTGCCACTACACCCGGCTGATTTTTTTTTGATTTATTGTAGAGATGAGGTCTCGCTGCCCAGGCGGGTCTCAAACCCGCGGGCTCAGGCAGTCCACTCACCTCAGCCTCCCAAAGGCACGGGATTACAGGCTGAGCCCCCGAGCCTGGCTGGCAAATGTAAGTTTTAAGCTGAATTATCTCTGATAGGTTTTTGGAACCCTGGAAGTAGCCACATACTGCATTGAAAGAGTGTTTGGATGCGTATGAGTAGACATTTAGGACCCTAGCTAAGCACTGCTTCCAGTAAAATGTGCAACTCATCGTTGTCTAATTTCTGTTTTGTAGGAAGGGAGTGAACAGGCACCGCTAATGAGCGAAGATGAACTGATTAACATAATAGATGGTGTTTTGAGAGATGATGACAAAAACAACGATGGCTACATTGACTATGCTGAATTTGCAAAATCACTGCAGTAGCACTTTTGACCTTCTCTTAGTTATATGCAAATGTGACCTGTGACAATGTGATCACATTCTTTTGGTAATGCAAAATAACTCATTTCCAATTACTGCCGCAGCATTTTGGTAAAATCCTGTAGCAATTTGTTACACTGGGGTGAGACAGAGAAATCAAGAAAAATGAAAGAGAAATAGGGCATCTCGTAGTCCCTAAATGCGAATACATCTGTTATTGGACAAGGGCTTGCTCAAAGCATCCTTTTAGAATCCTGGCTAATTGGAGCTGAGTACTCAGGAATTGACTGTACTAGAATGCCGCTGGCTTCTTCATTTCAATTCATGCTACCTGAAAAGTGTGACAAACAGCTTTACCAACCTGGCAAGGAAGGGAGTGAATGCCAAATGTTTCCCCCGGTGAGTCCTGGCTCTTCAGGTAAACATGGTCAGTATTCTGGAAAGTTCCCCTGGCCTGAGGGATGACTTGCTCTGGGCAAGTGGATATTTATTAGGCTCTTTTAAATCCACAGCATAAGAAGAATGTCATAAGCTGGCCACAGAGTCTAGGATTCTGTGTCCTCTGGAATCTTGGAAGTGATATAGCATTGGCCTAAGTTAATAACCTTTTTTAGGTGTTCAGTATTTTATACAACTACTGCCATGTCCTTATTCTTTATAACTTTTCTGTCTTCTTCAACGTGGGAGAGACATTGAATTTGAACGTGTTCTCTAATCAGTAGTGTTTTAGCTTTCTTACTATTTGTATGTCACTCCTGTTTCCAGGGCTTTCTTTTTGCAGTGTAGGAACTATTAGGAATGTGAGGACTAGGCTGGGTGTGGTGGCTCACGCCTATAATCCCAGCACTTTGGGAGGCTGAGGTGAGAGGACTGCCTGAGCCCATGGGTTCGAGACCAGCCTGGGCAACTTGGCAGGACCTCATCTCTACAATAAATTAAAAAACTAGCTGGGCATGATGGCATATGCCTGTAATTCCAGCTACTTGGAAGGTTTAGGTGGAAGGATCACCTGAACCCAGCAGGTCAAGTCTACTGTGGCTAGAAGCGTGCCACTGCCCTCCAGCCTGGGCAACAGACTCTAACTCAAAAAAAAAAAAAAAAGGAACGTGAGGACTTAGCAGAGGTAATACTTCTACCTGGTCCAGCCTAATTGGGAGGCGAAAAGATCACTCGCCAGACACAGTGCTTGACCTGGTACAAGTTCTATTTGGAAGGAATGTTTCATTGACCTCTGCTAGTCTGAACACATGGATTCTTGTCCATCTGGAAAGATGAGCAAAGAAGCCTAACAGCGTGGATCTCGATAGTGTTTGAAAACGAGAGGGAGCAGCAGATTGTAATTTGGTTTATTGGATGTTAGTGATGGGTGAATGGGAAAAAGACAGCATAAAATTTGCCATAAGCTGTATAGAGACTTATTTTCTTTATTAAAGTATTCTTATAAGAAAATATATGTATTTGTAAACATGTTTTCCTGTGTCAAGTATTTGTGCAATCAGAGCTGACTTGTAAACTATTCTTGTAATATCTTGTAATTTTGAAAGATTTATATAAAGAATTCTGGATATATGACCAATAAAACTGATGAATCATGATAAAGAGCAGGTGATTTTGTCCACATCGGCATCTCCTTCTGCCATGTGAAGGGTGTCTGTTTCATACAGATGTTTGTACCCACCTGCATTCAGCACGGGTCCCACGACTGTCCTTGCCTGGGCCCCACTCCTTTGCAGGGGTAAATTCTCACTATTCCAAGTTACTTTCCCCTTTTAGACATTTTTTTCTTGCTAATGAAATCATTTTTGGATCTTCTCTGGTCAAATTTAGATTAGGACAGCATTCTCTAGTTTAGGAGAATACACAGCATTCCCCCCCACCCCGAGTCTGGTGATTATTATTTCTTTGCCAGAAAATTTAATGAGACAGCATTATTGAAAACATTCCAGGCCCAGGCAAAACACACAAGTGTTCTTTGGCTTTTGGGAATGACATGCCTTGTTCTCCCCATTGAAAAGGAAGTTTCCTCAGGCGCGATGGCTCACGCCTGTAATCCCAACACTTTGGGAGGTGGAGGCGAGATTACCTGAGCTCAGGGGTTCAGGACAAGTCTGAGCAACATGGTGAGACCTCGTCTTTACAATAAAAAATAAAGAAATCAGCCGGGCATGGTGGCTCATGCCTGTGGTTCCAACTATTTGGAAGGCTGAGGTGGAAGGATCACCTGAGCCCAGCAGGTCGAGGCTGCTGTGGTCATGAGCTTGCCACTGCACTCTAGCCTGGGTGACAGAGTGAGACTCCGACTCAACAAAAAAAAAAGAAAATTCCCCTACACGTCCTTGATCTTCCCTGGGGGAGTCCTCGACCTTCTCTCATGACCTGCCTTGAGAATTTTTCAGAATGTATAAGGTGCATCTCTGCACCTCAGTTTCCTTATCTCTAAAATGGAGATAGATACACCCAGAGAGGCAGTCTTAAATGAAGAAAGAGCATAAGCTTGGACTCAAGCAGATCTGAGCTGAAATCTTAGCTTTGCTACACCTCAGCTGTCAAGTTTCTTTTTCTTTTTTTGAGTCAGTTTCACTCTGTCACCCAGGATGGAGGGGAGTGGCACGCTCACGGCCACCGCAACCTTGACCTGCTGGGTTCAGGTGATCCGTCCACCTCAGCCTTCCAAGTAGCTGGAACCACAGGCACGTGCCACCATGCCTGGCTGATTTTTTGATTTATTGTAGAGATGAGGTCTCGCCAAGTTGCCCTGGCTGGTCACAAACCCGTGGGCTCAGGCAATTCCCTGACCTCGGCCCCCCAAAGTGCTGGGATTACAGGTGTGAGCTACAACGTATGGCCAAGTTTCAAGACTTTAGTTTCTTATCTAAAAAACAACTATAGGCTGGCCAGGTGGCTTATGCCTGTAATTCCAGCACTTTGGGAGGCCAAAGAAACTAAGGGTCATGCCAAGTGTGATGACAAAAGACACAAAAGCACTGAAATAGGAACCAATCCAAAGGAGTTTGCATCTCTCCTGGCCTAATAGGTGGACCGCCTTCTCTGAATACCAGAGGCTGAATGAAGAAATTGAACTGGAGGAACTCTCAGCCTGGGAATGCCAAACAGAGAAAAGTGGTAATGAGAGGCCACCGTGGCAACAGGACAGTAGTGACCTCCGTGTGGTTTCAGAAGTTTCAGAAGGCCAGAGCCAGGCTTGTGTGCCCTGGGAATGAGGTCAAAGGTTCTTTTCTGGCCAGGCGTGGTGGCTCATGCCTGTAATCCTAGCACTTTGGGAGGCCAAGGCCAGAGGATTGCCTGAGCCCATGGATTTGAGACCAGCCTGGCCAATTTGGTGAGACCTCATCTCTACAATAAATCAAAAAATTAACCAGGTGTGGTGGCCCTGCCTGTGATTCCAGCTATATGGAAGGCTGAGGTTGAAGGATCACCTGAGCCCAACAGGTCAAGGCTGCTGTGGCCATAAGCATGCCACTCACAGAGTGAGGGTCCAACTAAAAAAAAAAAAGGTTCTTTTTTTAGAGAAACAACTGCCCCCAAGGAAAGGACCTTCCAGCCCTGACATTTAGGGGTTCCTCAGAAAAATCTGACTGGCAGCCTGGTCTCCCAGCAGAAAAGACACCATACTAAACCCTTCCATGCCCTGATAGCACCCCAGGTTATTAATGGTTCACACTTAAATATGAATGGATTTCTTAGGATGGAAGACAATCGAAGGAAACCATGAAAGAGACAGAAACCAAAACAAACTGAGAAAAGGAACATTGAGGAAACTGAGATAATGTAGGGACTAGAAGATAACACTTAAAAATTATAATCAGCAGTGTGTGGTGGCTCACATTTGTAATCCCAGTATTTAGGAGGCCAAGGCGGGAGGATCACTTGAACCCGGGAGTTTGGGACCAGCCTGGACAATATAGTGAGACTTTGTCTCTATATTAAAAAAATCAAACCAGGCATGGTGGCTCAAGCCTGTAATCCCAGCACATTGGGAGGCCGAGGCGAAAAGATTGCCTGAGCCCAGGGATTTGAGACCAGCCTGGGTAACTTGGCGAGACCTCGTCTCTACAATAAATCAAGAAATTAGTCGGACTTGGTGGCTCACACCTGTAGTTCCAGCTACTCGGAAGGCTGAAATGGAAGGATCGCCTGAGTCCAGCAGGTCGAGGCAGTGGTGGCTGTGAGCGTGCCACTGCACTCCAGCCTGTATGACAGAGTGAAACTCCAATTCAAAAAACCCCCCAAAACAAAAAATGAACCAGGTGTGGCAGCATGAACCTGTGGTCTCGGCTGAGGCAAAAGGATCGCTTGAGCCCAGGAGGTGGAGATTGCAGTGAGCCATGACCATGCCATTGCACTCCAGCCCGGGTGACAGAGTGAGACGCCAACTCAAAAAACAAAACAAAAAATGGAGAACAGATTTCTGGTTGCCACAATTAAAGAGGGATGGGAAAGGAGAGAGTGGGTGTGGCTATAAAGGAGTCACATTAGGAATCCTTGTGGTGATGGGACGTTCTGTGTCTTGACTGTATCCCTGTTAATATCCTGGTTGGAATATTGCATTACAGTGAGCCGTGAAGATGGAAGATGCTACCATGGGGGGAAACTGGGTCAAGGGTACACAGGATCTCTAGTCTTTTTTTTGTTTGTTTGTTTGAGTCGGGGTCTCACTCTGTCACCCAGGCTGGAGTGCAGTGGCCAAATCACGCACGGTTCATCACAGCATCAACCTCCTAGGCTGAAGTGATCCTCCTGCCTCAGCCTCCCAAGTAGCTGGGACTACAGGCACATGCTACCACTCCCAGCTAGTTATTTTTATTTTTATTTTTTTTTGAATTAGAGTCTCAGTCACCCAGACTGAAGTGC